CCGAGGACCCTGGGAACGGCAGGTGGCAATAGGAGCCTGGCCACTTGCAAGAGGGAGTTCCTGCAGTGGGGCTGAGCTCACCCTTGCAGGGGGGGAAGGTCAAGTCACCCAGCTGGGGAGCAGAGCAGCCTCCACCCGCTCCCTCCGGAGGGCGTCCTGGGTTCTCCAGGGATCTGGCCAGCGGAGGCTGGGGGTGGCATGTGGAGCCAGGCCAAGGGGAGAGGCCTCACCTCAGCAGGGCACCAGGGCCTTGGCCTGCAAAGGTTCACAGCTTCCTCCTCCTCCTTTTCCTGCAGCCCTCAGTCTCCGCCCCAGGAGGAGGAAGAGACCCCCGCATCCCCCTCAGTGGGCAACGTTGAATGGGGTTCTCATCCTCTGGGTGGTTTTCTCCTTTCCCTGAGCTGGAGGGGGATCCTGCACAACCAAGACCGTGGCTGCTCCAGATGTGCCCTGAGGGGCAAGGGGGGGGGACGCTGGATGGCACCTCCCCCCTCCTGGGCCTGCTCAGTAATAGCAGCAATTCACCTCCCAGGATCCCTTAGCAGCATGGCCGCCTGAGGAATTCTGGGAGTTGAAGTCCACGTGCCTTGAAGTGGCCACTGTTGAAGACCCCTCCTCTTGAACATTTCCACAGGGTAGGGCTCTGTCCCCTAGAACATCCAGGCCTGTCGGTTGGTGGGGAAAGCCAGAAGACTTTGGCCTGCCAGAGGGGCTTTGTTCAACCACCCAAGAAGGGGAACGTTGAGCTGCTCTGGGCTGTCTGGACCAAGGCCTTGGGAGCCTGCTGGGCAGTGCCAGGACTCCTCCAGCCTCTCCTGCAGCTCTTCTCTGACCCTTGGCCCCCAGTGAACTCCCTGCCCCACAGACCATCAGTCCCGGGCCCTGCTGTGTTGGAGCAGTTGCTGGAGCCTGGGAGGCCCCTTCCCTGCCGTTAGAGGGGGCCTGAGAAAAGCGGCTTCCCTGGTCAGTGGCCCCCAGGAGTCCCGGTGCCCTTGGAAGCCAAAGCCGACCAGAGCCCAGTCTCCGGAGCTTCTGGCCTGACGGGGGGAAGGATTTGGAGCCTATCGCTGGACCTGCGGCAGGAAAGGGCACTTGGGGGCCGGTGAGGAGGAGGAGCAGCTTCCCGGCAGAGCGCTCGGCTCCTCTGAGCGCAGCGCTCCTTCTCTTTCGGAGCTCCTTTCCGGCTACCGCGGCGGCCGCAGCTGGATTCCCGGCCTGGGCTGCTCTGGCGAAGCGGCCGAGAGGCTGGGGAGACAAACCCGGGCGGGGGTGGGACAGCGAAGGAATCCAACGTCCGGCCGAGGCGCTGCCAGGATGGAGCCAAGCGACGGGGCTGCGGCTCACCGTCTCTTACCGAGCGAGGCAATCCTGGCACCCCTCTCTCTCAGCGAGGGGCCAAAGACGACTCCCCGCCCCCCCCCCGAGAAAGAGGGGGAGGGTAGAGAGGGGGAGATGAGATGCGCCCGGATGTCCCTTCCCCAACTTGTGCTTTCTCCCCGCTTGGTCGCCCCCGGGGGCTGCTGCTGGAAGAGTCGCGTCCGACTCCCGTCCCATCCATGACCTGCAACGGCTCTCAGAGTAGCCAACGAAGCCCCCCCCCCTCCAACCCCCCCCGGAGCCTTGGAGCGCGCAGGGAAAGGCAGAGGCGGCGTCGGCTCTGTTCTGGCCCGGGTGGGTTGTTCAGGGCAGGCGGCCAGTAGGTGAGGGGCGGATCTCCGAGGCTGCAGGCTCTCCTGGGCGGCTTCTGACTGCCGGGGCTCTTCCTGCACGGAACCGGATCTCCTACTTCCAGGCAGGCCCACGGAGGCGGCCCGTGGCAGAGCTCAGAGGGCGGAATCAGTTGTGAAGGCCTGTGTGCACAGCCATGTTTGTGAGGCGGTGATGGGGGGTTGGAGGAGTTTTGTCCCAAGAGCCCCCTGCACTCGCCCCCCCAGGCCCACTCCCCCCCCCCAAGGTCTGTTCTGTTGGCCTCCGAGCCTTTCCCTGGCCTTCCTGCTCGGCTGTGAGGCGCCAGAAGGCCAGTTCCCATGGCCTCAGGCTGGGTGGACAAGAAGTGGTGAGTGACACTTCCAGAGCCCCGGTGGCCTTGGGACACCCCGCCCCACCTTTGTTACCTGTTGCAACTGGAAGGAAGGGAGGCCTTAAAACTGGATGGAGACAGGACTGTTGTTGGCTTGCTTCCCTTCTCAGCCTGCCCAGTCCTGCCCCCCACACCGTGTGTGTGTGTGTGTGTGTATGTCTCTGTGTGTGTGTGTCCGAGAGTGTCAGCAGAGACGGTTCTTTCCCAAGCAGCCAAAGGCCTCCCCTCCTGGCACAAGAGCAGCCAGGCCTGTTCTGCCTTTGCACTTTTGGGGTTACATGAACACTTTTGTTGCTGAGCTGATAGCTCCACCTCCCCCCCCAAAAAAAATATTTGGGGCTGTCATGGAGAGGGGGAGTGCTTTTGCTGTCTCCCTGGGCATGTTGAGATCTGCTCTGGATGCCTGGCAACTGCCCAACTGGAGGGCACAGCCCAGCGGCCGCCTCTCTCAACTGACCTCCCCCCTTGATTGGGGTCAAGATCCTTCTAGCACCTCCCAGCCTCTCCAGAGAGTTTAGAGTTTTTTTTTTTTTAGAGTTTTATTAGAATTTGTAGGCCGCCCTTTTCCCTGAGGGAAAAAATGACCATAAGGCATTTTTTCAGTACGTTGTAAGTTTGAATGGTCACTAAGTGAACTGCTATAAGTCAAGGACTGCCTGTATTTGGTTTCCGAGATTCTGTATCTTTTCTCCTGGCTTTCATTCCATGAAATGAGATTCCTAGGAATCTTGCTTCATGTTTTCGCTGCTAGGGGCTTGAAATTAATCTTCCTTCTCCTTTCAGGGGAGATTCTACTCCGGAATCCTTCAGTTGGGAGTCTCCCTTGAGAGTTTTAGAGGGTTTTTTTTTTTTTTTTTTTTCCCCTCAGGGAAAAAAGAGAGAGGAGTTCTTTCAACCGAGTGCCAGTTTGCATCTAGGGTAGTCGCCCCACCTCTGCTGTCCTTGGAAAATGACAGGTTTCCTGGGGCATCGGGTCCAACCAGTAGAGACGGAGGGGATTACTCAGAGTCCAAAGGAAGAAGACATGGGGGGGGGGGGAGGAAGAGAGGCTAGAATAAAGAAGTTAGAATAAACTCTGCACTTTCACCCTCGGTTTAAATGGCTTTTTCTGCTCTGAGCAGTTGGGATCTTCTGATCTTCCCCTTGGAATTCATTCCGGCGGATTAAGGGTGAGAAGTGGAGGCAGCAGATGGAGATCTAGCCATTGCAGGAGACTCCGAGGCCGCAGAGGAAGGGAGGATTACCTGGAAGTCTTTTCAGAAAGAGCCACGGGAGGAATTGAAGCCTGGCTGAGCCAAACTCCCTCTCCTGCCCTGTTTGCAGCTGACCCAGCTGTCTGCAGAGCCTTGGGACCTGATGGAAGGAGAGAGCCCATAAAGAGCCCCACTGGTGCTGGGGAGACTCTTTTCCAGAAGCTGCACCTGCATCCCTTCCTCAAAACCCCCTGCAGCCCCATTCAGAGGGTCCCTGCAGCTCTGCTGCCCCTCCACCTACCTCTGTGAGGGGGATGGCTGTGAAGGCAGAGCTCTGTGTGTGTGAGAGAGAGGGGAGGGAGGGAGGGAGGGAGGGAGGGAGGGAGAGACAGAGACAGATGCGTCCTTTTCTCGTCAGGCAGGGAAAGGCCTTCCTCCACCTGACCTCTTTAACCACAGCAGTTGTGGGGCAAACCTGGGTCCTCATTCATGCACAGGGTGGGCTTGGCATTTGCCTGGATGATGAGTCCTCCTGTGCCCCATTGCCCCATGCCAGGAATGGAAGTGTGGGGCCGTCCCCTTACTTCCTGGCATTCAGCAATTCACCCTCGCTGGATCCAGACAGTTCAATGGACACGCAGGTCTGTTTGGCGACCAATGAGCGAATAGGATTTCCTCAATGCTGCACAGCCACAGAGACCCTCCCCCATAAGACTTCGGAGGGGAGGGTTGCAGGTCTGCTCCTCAATGGCTTCTGCTGCATTTTGAGGTGGAAGGTCCCCTCGGAGGGCGAAGCAGTGTGAGCAGAAGGGCTCCCCAGCCACCCTTGGCCCCATCTCCCCACAGGGAAGCGAGGGAGGGGCGAGTGCCCCCTCCCTTCCAACAGGCACACCTGGAATGCTCAGGGGAGGTTTGGGGGAGTCACCTTAGCCCCTTTCTGGGCAGCCCCCCCCCATTCCCCTGCTCTCCACCTTCGCCGATGCTGTGGCGTCCAGTCCGGGCAACCATGGCTGTAGACTGTTACCAGCCCACATCCACACAGTAACAATCTAAAGCCACGGTTGCCCTGGAGACGCAGGATGAGCTGGCGTGGTGAACGGCATCCTGAAACTCCATCCTTGCTAGGAGCCAAGAACAGAGAGATCTGCCCTGCTGGGAATCCNTCTTTTAATTGATATATCATCCTTTTTTTCTCTTCCATTCTTCAATCTGTATGCCAGCCATCGTCCAGGTTTATTGGCTTGTTCAAAGTAATTCTGTCTGGCCGCTTTAATTCTCTGTTCTAATTCCTTTTGAGTTATTAAGCTGATCTTATGTTTTATCATCCCTCTTTTTTCTTTTTTAGTTTTGTTCTTTGGGTCTTTCTCTAGTTCAGCTTCGCAGGGGAGGCCTCTTCATTTGCTCAGTGTACCTGTGCTACACACACCCTCCCCCCGCCCGAGGGCCTTGCTTAAGGCTGCCTTCGAGAGGGGGCTCCTTGCCTGGAGGGTGGGCTGGCATGCGCAGCAGAGAAGGCCCTGCATTGATCCGTCCCTGGGTTATGGCCGCAGCTGTTCTGCCAAGAACCGAAGGGAAGAAGAAACCGAGAGATTACGGCACGCTGTCTGGGGCTGCTGGTTTGGCCAGTGGGGATGGGGGGGGGCAGGCTTTCCCTAGGGACCTCCGTGTTGTGCCCCCACGCCCCTTGGCACTGGTTATCTGGAGAATGGGACTGACTGGTGGCAGCTTGTTTGCCTGAGCCCCTCTGGCCCGACATGCGGAGAGGCTGCAAAGCCTCTGGCCCAGCTCGACCAGTCACGATAGTGCTTGGAAGTGCCCCTATGGAGATGGGGCGTTACGCCCATGACGGCATTAATCTACCCTCGTCTTGTGGTTTCTTGCTTTCCAGGTGAACTTGGCCAAATCCCTGCCACCACCTGGGAAAGGAGCCCTGAAGAGCTGCTCCTCCTGCCAGCAGGAGACGGAGGAGGAGAAGGAGGAGGCGCCATCAAACCTCGGAGTGGAGCTGGGGACTCAAACTGGTCCCAGGCAGTGCGTGAAGGAGCAGCAGCAGCAGTAGGGGGCCAAGCTTTGGGGCATCCTTTGGCTGATTCCCCCATCCCACCCCCACTGGGGAAAAGCAGTGCTTGCAATCTCCAGAGAGGAGGGTGCTGCGTTCCCCTGCCAGCTCTTCGGGAGGCCTGGTTTTGCCTTTAGGGCTTCCTGCAACCACCGACTTTTGGGGTTCAGCAGCTGGAGAATCAGAAGTGCCTTTGCTGGAGTAATTAAAAAAACGGGGGCTTTGCCAGAGACACTGAAACTCAATATGGACTAAGCACCTGAAGCTGTGTGGCAAGGAAGTCCTGGCAGCGATAAGCAGAAAGAGGGCACGTGTGTCCGGGGGTGGGTGGAGAGAAGGGGGGGGCACAATCAGAGGGTATCTGGGAGTGCAAGAAGTCTCCATCCGTGCCTGTCGATATCAGAGGCATCCCTGGCGTTTCTGCCTTCTGCTCCCTCTGCTTTTATGGTGCAGTCCTTAGAAGGCNCATGTCACCAGAGGTCTATGAAGGCTTGAAGGAATATTGTGCTTTAAATCTTGATTTAAGCCTTGAGGGTCCCTGGCCACAAAAGGTATTTAGGGGGGGGGTTCCGTGGTGAAGAAGAGGTTGAGAACCACCCACCTGCGCCACCAGGTGCCGCGTACAGGTGAACTGCAGGTAGAGCAAACCTCCAGAAGAACCTTGGCGGGAGCTCAAGGGGGGGGCTGTGTTTGCTGCCTGAGCTGCTTGCCCCCCCCTTCCCAAGGCTGGGCTAAAGCAAGCGGGAGGCAGGGGGCCGAATCCACCTTCGCTGGAGGGGCCCTCAAGGCCATCCAGTCTTAGCACATGTCCCCCTCGAGTGGAGTTGGGCATCTCTTAATGGAAGGTTTGGGAAGGAGGCTTACAGCAAGAGCTCCCCAAATGTGGCCGCACTTGTGGACTTCAACTCCCAGAATTCTCCATCCAGCAGAGCTCTGGATCCATCCAGAATTCTCCATCCAGCAGTGGCCAGGTTTGGGGACCTCTGGCTTACAGAGGCAACATTAGGGAAGCGTCCGAAATCTCTCGCGCTTTGCTTCCCCTTCTACAGCACTGGGCCCGGAGGGGGAAACAGCACGCTGGGTCTTTGGTGCTCTCTGGGCTTCTAGCTCTGGGATGGCAGACCTGTGGCATGAGGTCCACAGGTGGCACATGGAGCCATACTTGCTGGCATGCGAGGCCTCAGCTCCAGAACGCCTGTGTGCACCGGCCAGCTGATTTTGGGCCTTCCGGAGAGCAGGAGAAGCCATTTTTTGCCCTCCCCAGGCTTCAGGAAAGTCTCCGGAGCCTAAAGAGGGTGAAAAATCCCCCCACCACATGGTGCGTGTGTGCACATGCGCATAAAATTGTGGGTGCGGGCACGCATACACGTGCAAAGGTTTGGCACACCTTTAGGAAAAGGTTCCCCATCACTGTTCTGGCTCACTAGCCCTTCTCCTCCCTTTAGTACTGAAGATGTCCTCCAGCTGAAAATCACCAGGCGGAGAGCAGCTAAGACTGTGTTTCTCAACCTTGGCCACTTGAAGATGGGGAAGTGTCTAGGACAGTGTTTCTCAACCTTGGCCACTTGAAGAT